AATAGGAAGACGACAAAAAATCGTAGCTAGGGGCGCATGTCTGCAGATGCTGTCATGTCATCACACACTCTCACGCGAGTGCGAGCGCGTGAGTGCGCGCGTGAGTGCGCGTGTGCGCGGGCCCACGAACGCGTCCACGAAGCACCCACGAACGCACCCGCGAACGCACCCCCCACAAACGCACCCCCCACAAACGCACACAGGCACGACCCACCCTGCCACACACACACACACACACACACACACACACACACACACACACACACACAGACACAGTATATATATATATATATACACAAGTATATACATATATACATATACACATATATATATATATATATATAATTATGCTACCTCCCCCCCCCCAGCGACCTACCCTTTTTAGGCCTTTTTAGGCCTCTTTAACAAAAATAACAACGAAGGCCCAAAAGTCGCGTAGTTAATCACCGAGAAATGAAGGACAGTTACTGGGACACCCACCTCACAGACCCCGATAAGCCAGCATTGGATTAGTCTACATTTTGGAGCGGACAATGCTGTTTTTAGATGTTTAGATCTGTGTTTTTCTATGCAAGTTGTGCGGTTAAAGGGCAATTAATGTTTTGTTGAGCAACTAAGCTATTTATACAAATTGTGTTTGAACGAGGCAAAGTATTAATCAAATAGTGATACATTTTTCTTGATTCTATACGATTTTAACTACTAGAGTAATTATTAAGCAAAGAGCCCAATTTGACTCAAGTGCATACTCTTTAAATGAGCATACTCAACCAAGATGCGAAATAGACACCATTCTCAACCAAAATATGGCAAAGTGTGCGTTTAAAGGGCAAATAATGCTTTGTTGAGCAACTCCTGTATTTATACACTTGTGTTTGTACTAGGCAAAGTATGAATCAAATACTATCTGAAAAGTCCACTGAAATACCTTATGTTTACATATTCATGAAACTTTGTCAATTTTTGAAATAATCATTCTATGCGAATTTAGCTACTAGAGCAATAATTAAGCAAATGGCCCAATTTGACTCAAGTGAATACCATTTAAAGGACCATACTCAACCAAAATACGAAATAAGCACCATATTCAACCAAAATATTGCAAAGTGTGGTTTAAAGGGCAAATAGTGCTTTGTTGAGCAACTAATGCATTGAAACAGTTGTGTTTATACCAGGCAAAGTATTATTGAAATACGGTCTGCAAAGTGTCCACTGAAATACCTTATGTTTACATATTCATGAAACAATTTGTATTTTGGAAATATTCATTCTATGCGAATTTAACTACTAGAGAAATTCTTAAGCAAATAGCCCAATTTGACTCAAGTGAATACTATTTAAAGGACCAGACTCAACCAAATACGAAATAAACACTAACGGAAATGGAAGCGGTTCTACCTACATAACAATGAAACAAAAACTGCTGAAGTATTCAATAAAGACCACTTAGATACTATGTCTGAAAAGCACAATTTGCATAAACAAGCTTAAAAATGCACAATAATGGAAATAGAAGCGGCTCTACTTACATAACGATGAAACAAAGATGTCTGAAGTATTCAATAAAGACCACTTATGTCCTATGTTTGAAAAACACAACTTGCACAATCAGGCTTTAAAAATGCACAAGAATCCTAGAAAAGTACTTAGTGAAGGCCATACACAAGCAAATTCACAAGTACAAAAAAACATCCAAAAGCGCAAGCTTTTCAGGAGAGTCTTTGGTGAAGTTTGGATTATAGGGTTTTGGGGTATCCCTGGACGAGTAGGAATCACTTTCTAAGCAAACAATTCTAAGCAATAAAATTCTTTTTCTCAAGACAAGTATTGCAATTGCTGCTTCTAGATAATTAATCGCTTTTACCAGGCAAATATTATCCATGCACTTGTATACTATTTCTGAAAAGCACAATTAGCATAAGCACACTTTAAAATGCGTAGTTGTTGCCTCGGGACCGTGAAGGCGCGAACCAAAAAGCCAAAATACCAAAACCAAAAAACCAAAAATACCAAAACCAAAAAAACCAAAAAAACCTAAAAACCGAAAGTACCAATTTTCCGGGACTCTTGGAGAAGCCTCATAGGGATTCCTTAGAGTTCCGGAAAATTGGTTGTTTTGGTTTTTTTGGTTTTTGTTGTTTTGGATTCTTTGGTTTTTTGGTTTTGGTTTTTTTGGGTTTTTTTTTTTTTTTTTTTTTTTTTTGTTTTTGGTTTTTTTGGTTTTGTTTGGTTTTTTTGGTTTTTTTTTTTGTTTTTTTGGTTTTGGTGGTTTTGGTTTTTTTGGTTTTTTTGGTTTTGGTGATTTTTGGTTTTTCTACTGTCCCGTGTATGTGATTGTAGTTGTATTTTAGTCTACGCCCTAGGAAATACGCTATATTGCACACCGAGTTTGCTTGCAGTGCAGCTGGGTGACTTGAGACAAGGCGAAAAAGGGTAGGTCACTGGGGGGGGTACCATATATATGTAATTATATGTATATATATATATGTATATATATATATATATGTATATGTATATACATATATGTATATATATATATGTGTATGTGTATATATATTTATATACATACATGTATCGTATATAAAAGAAAGACAAGCGCCCTGGCACTGTTCGGTCCGGTCGCCTGCACAGCTGGCTCCTGCCGGCGCGAGAAACTTGAAACCGTCCGTTAACAGGACATCGTGCCGCTTCTCGTTTAAAAAATCCGCAGCCTTAGCTTGACAGCAGAGTACTACAGCTAGCCCCAAATCAAAACCCAGAAAGACCTTCTATCCCAATCAGAACTGTCCCTGATGTCACCCCGCCCCCTTTGCCTCGATGTAAACTGAATCCATCCAACCCAAGCTTTAGCGATGTCGCTTGGCATGTTTGGTCCAGAAGTCAGGAAAACGAAAGGTTTCGACTTGCTGAGGGTAAGGCCTACGTGTAGCGATGGCCCAAAGAGCGCATGACATCTTGCATACAGGTTGTAAGCAGTTTGAGGCCATTACGTCCAAAAACTTCATGCCCGCCCAAAGTTCTGATCTGATTTTGAGAGTAACATCCCTGTGAAAAACAACTTGGTTGCCTCAACAGCTTACGGCTTGAGCTTCTGCTTTTGGACCCTGCCCTACTATAGAAACCTGTGCTTCTCTGACCCACCAACACACGCTCCAAAACGTGGGCAAGCGAGAGCCCAACAGTACACTGTGCTGCTCAGAGTTAGAAAAGTGTTAGAAAGAGAGCCCGGCCGAAACCGATGCGGCCTTGAAGGCATCGCCCCATTCTGACGTAATGTCAGCATCCTCAGGCTCAGGGTCGTGTGCTCAGGGTACTGATTCTTTTCAAAAAGTATCACCAAAGCATCAGGCTTAAGAATCCAGCAGAGTCGGTTCTTACAAGGCCCTTCTTGCAGAACTGTCCATCCTTCCAGATCAAAACATCGAAAAACCAGTGCGGTAACTCCGGCCCTCAGCTTTTGCAGCTCCGGATTCTTGTTAAACAACGGAGCAAGCAGGTTTGGCACCTCCATGGTACACCGTGCATGTACTCTTGGTGGCTTCTTTGGCTCACAGTATCCATCGACCCACTTTGGCCTGACAGGGGAAAAGGCTCGCTGCATAGAGTCGAATGTTGGTCTGCAATTCTGGGAAAATTGCATAGACATGCCTAGACTTTGACACACGAAGACCATCGAAGGGACTTCGTTTGCATTTTGCATCTCCGCTGCTAAAGTTCTAGGGGATTTGCCTGCAGAACTCCTCGCGGAGGTGCAAGGCTTGAGCCTGGCGCAAGCACTACAAAAAGAAACTCTGCTTCCATGCTCTGAGATCTCCGTGATGCTTTGATGCTTTGCAAGCCTCTGCTGCCTTCTGATATCGATCAAGGTCCTTCAGCACGCACAATAATGAGCCGATCCTAATCAGCAGAACTGCTTGCTGAGTCTCTGGCCGACTGATTGATCCTGGGCCTCTCAATGGCGGTGCACAAGTCCCGCAGTTGATCGTACCTGTAGGAGCTGGCAAAGATTGCTTTTCCTCGAAGTCCAACCACCAAGAATCAGGAAGCGTGGCTGAAAATGGCTGACTCGATGCGGTCATCCACCCATGGCTGAGGCATCGCCTTCAGCGGATGCACCTCGTGCCACCTGGAACACGGAACCAAAGGACAATGATGGAAAAACCAGCTGCGAAGTCATGCCGCCTACTTGTGATGCACGCAAGTTCCGACATGCGAGGGCGACCAATGGCGACAGGATGTCCTCCAAGTCACTGCGGCACTCGTGCGACAATGAAGCTTATGGTGGCATGTGGTGGCCGAACAGGTGTGCGCAGCTCGGCTTGTAATCCGAGCCAACCTTCGGCTCATGCAGGCTTATGCTACATCATTCTACAGAAGCTTTCCTGAAGACCTTGTGTATCCGCTGGAAGGCACTTCACTGCCAGCCCCGGAACATCCCATGGCCGTCCTCTCACACAGCGCTGTCCGGTTGTCGCACCAGACCGGACCTGCAACAAACGCGGCGGCCATGGAAAATGCTGGCAAAATGGCAACACCCCAATCGCATGCAGTTGCTACAAGTGCTACAATCTGTTGCGCTCTTGCGTTTCCACAGTATCCATCGGCCAGGTTTGACCAGTGCAGGCATGGTTGGGCTCGCTCCACCAAGCTGCCGACTGTCGTTCGGCACTGGTGCTCGCTTTTTTCCCACCTGCGAGATGCGAAATCAACTCCACTTAGTTTCTGAGCGCACCGCGTGGTGCTTCTAATCACGTCCTGCTGCACCCATGGTTTATGTGGCCGTGCCAGCGTGCTCTCGAGTCACTTGAACACGCCGCGACCACCGTAGACCACACCTCGCAAGCAAGCCGCATCTCGTTGTAAAGCTTCGACCTTGGCATTTTGATGAACAGCAAGCACAGTGCAATGTCTAGATGAAGGAAAATGCGCCACGAGCACAGCTCCGGTCTTTTCTGACCACAAGCCTATGCTGGCAGTTCGATGCCCTTTGTCATCAATTGTCAGAAATGATGTCGGATGTGCCACCTGAGCAGAAGATTCTCGACACAGTGCCCGAACTGTTGGATGAACATGGCACACGTCAGCAAGTACTCGGCTTGGTCACCAAGCCCTCGAGGGTGCTGCAGCACGTACACAAGCGGTGCTTCCTGACCAGGTGCTGCCATGCAAACACCTACCTTGCACACCTTGCCAACGCAAGGCTGCATGAACAACAAGCTGAAAAACGCTGTTTGCTTTATAAGCCCTTGCTGTTTCTGAACGTGCAACAGGATGGTTCTAAACTGGGGGTCTGAGCGCCTAGCATTGACCAACATGGACACATTTTGCGGACGCCAGGGAGCGTTCGCAGTGCGCAGAGTTGCGGGTGGCTGCGGAACGGGATAGGGCCCATCTTGGGGAAGCCCAGAATGTAAGCCGGGCCTGCCGCATCGATGACGCAAAAAACAGCATTTTCCGGCATGCTGCACACTCGCATCGTTTATTATGCCGGCGATCATTGTCGGTAACACAATGAGGTCTGTGAAGACGTTCCAGACGTTTTGCCGCAGAGAAATCGATGCCGTAGCTGGAGACGATTGGCGATCATGACTCGTTGTCCAAAACTGGCGCCAAGACGGTGCCCGGTACATATTCAGATCTTGCAGCGAGCAATCACTCTGCGGCAGGGCCGCTGCATTCAACTCGGCAGCAGATCAAGCAAGTCCGTGGTGTCATTGCTGCCGACGCGTCTAGAGCAATCTTGTAGACTTGAACGTGTCAAGAGCTGAAGAAAAGTTGCGAGTGCAGCAGTTTGATCAAAAAATCTGGCAGGGATGTAGCGCGATGTCCTCGTTGCTTTAGTAGCAAAATGGCTGCTGCATCTTCGACCTCCGAATTCATCTCGTGGTGTCTTTTTGACGCAGGGCGAAGGTGGGTTGCGGCTGCAAGATGAAAGTAAGCGCCGCTTGTTTTGCGAGGGTGCAAATCGGGAAGGATCGCGTGGGCTACGCGTTCACCTGCTGTGATGATTTTGACAGCAAACGGTGGTCCACACCTTAACTTGCCAAGAACCACCCTACACCCCACGTCAGTCCCCACTCAGTCCCACCGCAAGGAGCGGGATTGCGAAGGCGTTTCGGATGTGCGCATCGATGTGGAGAGGCTGCCAGGGCGTTCTCATTTCAGACCGTGTCTCGATTTGCATAAGAAGAGAAGCAGTGCGAATTCTGAGAATGTCTGTCTGGCATGTCGCCAATCCTGACAACATGTGACACAGTGCTTTCGAATCACGAATCAGACGAGGAGTTGCTGGCACGCATCCGCATGCATTCACTCAGTGCTGGGCCACTTCTCGCGCAGATGGCATCCGAGCAACACCCGATCTAGCCAAGCGAGAGCATAGTGCCTGTAAAAGGAGCTGCACCAGTGCTGAGAAACCAACAACATGAAAGGCCTAAAGGGCCTAAAGCATCTCAACGTGTCAGGGTTGCGATGCACGCTGCAAGCGTCGAGCACGACTAAGAACCATGTGAAATTGGAAGTCGCAGCCTCTGCGCTGGCACGATCTCGAACAAGGCCTGATATGAGAAAGCAGGGCCACAACTGCAAATTGGGACGGTTCTTAGGTAAAGCCCTCTTAGCAAGGAGAACAGGACCCAAGCCATCCACAATCGAAACTGCTGACAAATAATGACAAATACGCGGAACATGGACTTGACGATCAGCGTGGCTCCGAATCGTGTCGGGTTGTCTGGCCGCATGCATGTTGACAATCTCCACAGCATCACCTCGACATACAGCGAATGCCAGCACGAGGGCATGAACACGGAGCACAGACAAGCTCTGCTCCCGGACTTGTTGGCAAAGCCCCCAGGTCAGTGATGCCGATGAAATCCGCGGCAATGCCGTGCTGAGCGTGCCAGCAGATCCAGCAGAAGGATCCATCAACAAGACATCTTGGAAGCGTATGGAAATGTGAGAAACCGAAAGGGCATAAGGCTTTACGTAAGGCACGTGCCTCCCTGATTGACGCCCAGAGCAAGCTCACCTGCTCGAAAACTGGCCGTTGCAGGCCTTCGCAAATTTCGCAAAGGCTGGCTGAGATGCAAGGGGCGTGTGCGCCGTAACATCCAATCCACATTTATTGAACTCCTTACAGGTCCATGGGTCTAAGAACCATGCGAGAAGCTCCACCATGTGCTCGGCATAAATTGGACAGCACTACCGACCTCGCGGCATCTCGGTTACGAGCTTGATGCAGCACAACTTTGGAAAAGCCTTGCAACAGGTACCAGTTGAACTGTCGGGCCAACAGTAATACAACAATCAACGTAAACCAATGTGGTCAATGGTCAAGCATGCCCCCACTCAAGCCGCCCGTATGGCCCGTACGACCCGCACTGCCCTCGGCTCAACTTCTCCTTTCCTTGTGCTGCTGGAACGACAGGACATGCCGGCATATGCGTCAGGCCGCCGCAAATCTCCGTTGAGATCTCATTTTGGATGGGAACAGAAAGGGAGCACCGCTTAAAGTGCGAGCGGGGCGCCACCTCAACAACCTTCGCTACGAGCGGCCTCAAGCCGACTTGGCACTTGGAGTTTGCTCGCAAGATGCCGCGAGTTACCGGCGGCCGCGAGGGTGCGGACGCTTCTCAAGAACGGGAGGGAGGCCACGCCCAAGCCTCCTACTGCCTCCTACTTGGGTCACCGCGCGCTGAGCTCACTAGGGAAGGCGCCGCACGCTCAGTTCTAGTTCACAGTCGGAAGCACTTCGGGCTCAGTTTGCGCCCACAAGGGCCACCCGCACGGCATTGTCAGGGCCGCGAGGAAGAGCCAGCTGCTAGATCTCTCTTGCCTGCACAGGCACTTCACGAAAACGCCTGGCTCTGCACCTGCCTCCAGGGCAAGTCACTAGCATGGCAGCCATGCTGGGAGGTTCCGTGAGCGAACGCGGATTCCGAAAAACACTTGACTTCGTCTGCGTGTGGCTTCGACAACCTTCCATGCCAGCCAGCCACTAGGCCCTAGTGGAGACGTCTCCAATATGCTCGAATGGACACGATTCCGAAAAAGGTTGCTGCAGAGACAGGAGAGTGCATGCAGAGCTGGCTTCAGAAGCTCGGGCAAGGTGCACAGCACTCCACAAGCATGATCCCTGTCACAACTAGAAGAAGGCTTGCAGAGACGAGCTGGCAAGAGCTCGAGTCAGCAGCTCGCAGCCCTCAAGAAACCGTCCTCAACTGCTTCTTCTGTCAGATTTGTCAGCATGGATGACGCTGACCACCCTGGAGCAGAGCTTGAGCCGTGGCAAAGGCCGCGCCAACGCAGGCCAAAGCCGAGGACAAAGCCGAAATCAAAGTCGAGATGCCGAACCAGGGAACCAGGGCCTGCACTTCCAAGAAGGTTGGCAAGAATTGCCGGCACAAGGCACAAGGCACGGCGTCCCCGAGCTTTGGGCAAAAGCCACCTGTGCCACACCAAGGTCAAGAGTCAAGAGCTATGTGGTTTTCAATAATTTTCAAGAGCGACCACGCGGAGAAGGAGAAACCGAAACCCTTGCTCGACGTGCAGCGCAACTCCGACCATGCCAGCATCGTTAAGGAGCTCCTTAAGAACTGTGTTCAAAAGGCTAATCTGGAAAAACCGAGCGATTGCCAAAAGAGATCAGCACGCTTGCACTTCCCACCCCGGCCCGTTTCGCTCCGAGGGTTGGGAAGCCGGCATGGGGGCTGTTGCCTTCGACATCGACTACATCGAGAATCGGATGACGATCAAGAAGAGAGAAGGCAGGACGACGCTCGCGGAAATTTCGGTGGACCCTCAGTGGGGATCAAAGGTCCAACCTTTAGCCTGGCCACCCCCCAATCACAACCCCAGCGTGGCCTCGAGAATGTTGTCAGCTGACGCAAGGCTTTAGGAGTGGCCACGCGCGAGGCTCGGATACCATTCAAGATGGTGGGCCGGGGGACCCTTTCAAGGTTCTGCTGAAGCCCTGCCCGGACCTCATCTGTGACTTCGGAGAAAAAAAGAGCACGCAAGGTGTTGACGGTTGAATTTCTGCAGCGGTCAAAACTGCGGGAGGCGGCGAAGGAGGGGCCGCCGGAGCAGCCGCAGGTGGGCGGTGGGGCTCCTCCCACACCAACGCCGCTTGAAGCGCTGCTGACACGAAACTGCCGGGAAAACAGAGATGCTCGATGCTGCCCGTATGTGTCCTTTAATCCAAACTGGCCCATGGGGCAACTCCATCTCCGTCCCTAACCGCCAGCAAGTGCCGACTGTGATTGTGATTTCTTGCACGAGCGTAGTTCGTGCAATACACAACCACTTCCAAGGCCAAAGTTCACAAAGTGCTTCGTTTCGGCTGTCTAGCGAAATATCTCCGCGGCTCTTGCTACATACGAGAACCAAATAAATCAGCGCAAACAATCATGCAAAACCAAAGCTTGATTTATTTGGGAATCGTCAAGGAGCTAAGGCACCTGCGCGCCCAGGTCAAGCCGCCATCCATTCAAAAGAAGCCGGAAGGCCTTCAAAACTTCAAAAAGACGCAGTTGTCAGTGATGCAAGGGAGCCAAAGGCACGACTAAGGTCATGGCACCATGTATTGCCAACATGAGATCTTTGGAGGAAAGGGTCTGGCACCGCAATGGACCCGGGCGTATCATTGCATGCCGATGGCACATCAGGTTACCGAACTTCATTGAAGCCTCCTCGCAGGCCCACACGAATGTCCTCGAGCACACTCTGCAGACAGAGCATTGTACTTCCCGATTAAAACAGAGAGAAAGAGAGAAAGAGAGAAAGAGAGAAAGAGAGAGAGAGAGAGGAAACAAAAAAATGGAGAGAGAAATCTTCCTCAAAGCTATGGCATCTGCTCCCGTCAGGAGCTTCCGGAACGCGAGATCCTTGTAAAGAGAGCTGCGACAGCGCAAGCGCAAAACTTTCTCGATCAGCACACCAGCACTCACTCACTTCTTGCCCTCGGTTGAGAGAGACACAGAAGAGCAGATACTTTGGCGGATGCATTGAGCTGCTTGACAACATGATTCCAGAGTATGTCTGAGTCCAGAGTCCAAAGCGTGCCAAACGCAACGACAACCACAAACAATCCCGCAGCTTCTGGGTGTAACTAAACGGCCGTCGTGCTCGTCTCGGCATTCTGTGGTCCAATGTGGTCTACAGTACAAATGTGTAAAACTCTTTGGCTAACCCCCACGGAATCCTCACTTGTCCCTTCAGCGGACTCATTCCGGTCTCGGGGTTCCTCTGCCATCTGCGGCCTGTTTTCCACTAAGGCGCCATGACTCCTTGCACATGAGTGCTGCTGGTCTCGACACCATTCGTCCAGCTTCTCGACAAGCTTCCCAGATGCGCAGATGGAACATCATGGGCTACTCGCTGCTGATATCCATGTAAATAGCAAATGGCCCATTTGGCGCAAGTCTTTGCGGACGTGCAAAAGCCCAAGGAAGCACTTTGGAAAAGCTAAGAGGCGGTGTCAAGGGAATGTAAGTGCCAGTGAAGGGCCATAAGCTGCAACACAAAGCACGCAATCTTTCAACTTCCAACCCCCTGGCATTCATTCTTGCACAAGATCGTGCAGGAACAGCACGCGAGCTTTCGGCTTGGGGCTGACAGCGACAAAACGAAAGATCGCAGATAAAATCCTAAGTTCCTAAACCTGCATGTGAGCAATGACGCGATTGAATCATTGAAAGCCATGACCATGATCTACCCTGAATTCTCCGGCAATCGGCTGGTCCTTCCGGTCGTTCTGGTCACGTCTGAGTCCTACCGTACGGTGACCGCACGAATGGTACAAACGTGCATGCTCAGACTACTTCAGAGATTGCTTCAATACTGTCAAAAACTGATTCTTCAAGTTTATCGACTTACCCGTGGCTCGGCTTAAAACTGCTGGGTGCCAAGCGAATGTCAAGTCTCAAAGCACTGCATTCCCGTTCGAAAAACAATCTGGATTTTGCTCGACGATTTTCAGGCGAACCACCACTCTGAATCTTATAAGAATTTGAGCAAATATTTGCTGCGATGAGCGAGTGTGCTGGCGGCTTCATGCCGCTGCTTGTTGCAGGGCCGACCTATTAGTGGCAGAAAGCTGACAAGCGAATCCGCCACGGAACGGTAAGGGTGTCAGCAGGGGATGGCAAGTGGCCATGGGTCTCGGCTGGCGATCCAAGATGCTTGAAGGGGTCCTAAGAGTGAGCATCACGAGTATCAGCAAGTTCCCCAGGGGTTTGGAGCATGAATGTCTGACCACAACCCGAAAACACCACGGATCAAAGCTGCCACTGTAAGCTGATTTAAACAAAACGGGCTTTGCCTGGTGCGTGACCGGCAGCAAGCTGGCAGCGCACCTCAAGCTGTTAGAGGCGGCATGCTCAGCAAACATCGTGCAACATTCTGACTTTCTGAACGTCTTTCTGAATCTGTGAGATAAATTTTGCACGAATGCACGGCCACTTTTTGTCACCTTCACTGGTGGTCTTGTGTGTCGACCCTTTCGCGGTCTCCTGTTCCACAGGAGGTGCACAAAGCTGGTAGCGAAAGCCTGAAGTCTCATAACATCGAAATGTCGTCAAACATGGCGTTTTTAGTTTCACGACGGAAAGACAAACAAAAAAGCAGTAGAAGGAAGGGGTCAGATACAATCGCTTAACCTGCTATTCTGACAGCTCCGGCTCCAAACGAACGCTGCGCATGCTGCAAGCATTCCAGCACTGGTGGTGTGCTTGGTGCTGCACGGCTTTGACACACCTTTACAGCCATGGCCGAGCAATCTTCGGCTTCGGAAGGCACGTTGGAAGGCAGCCCCTTTTGAGAGACCTCCCTTCTTGGGGAGTCCGTCTGCATTCTCCTATGCCAGCTCACTCAGATGATCTTCTTTGACCGGAAGAAGCGCTTGAAGTACAGCATCTGCCAGCCACCCACACCAATCCTTCGCAAGCGCAGCCGCTCTGAACTGCTCCGAAGAAACTCACCACAACTCACCAGTTCTGCTAGGGCACATGAGGAACACATTGAACAGGCAGAAGAAGATTACCTCGGCATAACACTAGGACAGCAGTGGACCGAATGTGACCACAACTGGGAGGGCATATGACAACACCTGTCGCCAAGTCAGATGTTGTCTTGTCTCGTGTCACTGTCAGGGTGCTCTGCTTGCAGTGGAATCATTCGTCTGCCTGTCCACCAAAGTCGGCGAGGAACAAAGCAACAAACAGTTCCCACTGCTTCCACGAGCACAAGCCAGCGCTCAACCTGCCTCATGCGCTCCTCTCGTGCTCTGATGTAGAGCACGTTGCTATGGTAGTTCCGCAAGGACTCTTCTACCTCATCCAGAAAGACATGCACCTTTCTAACACTGTGTCGTACATCTTCGACATGGTTACTCACTCGGTATGAGCAGGTAGGGCTTCCGCTATGTAGACGCACAACTTCACGACCACTCGGCAAGAGGTGCCAACTATCACAGGTGAGGACAAGCGGCTCTTCGTAGAGCAACCTGCGACTCTTCCAGGTGCTCCTGCCAGGGTGCGACAGGCTCGATTGGAAGCTAAGCAAAATCCTGGCCTATGCAACAATGCAACTACCACCCACCACCACCCACAGAACGAGCTAAAACAAGCGATTGCAGACTCTATCCTTCTTGGCAACCTGCGAGTAGTCTTTGGCTTCTGGACCGAGCAACACCTAGAATCTGCTGCTCAGGTCAAAGCCATACACTTCAAGTCGCAATCTGAGGGCAGTGAACGGGGTGGACGTTTTTCTTGACCTTATGTCTTTTCGTATTCCTTCTTTTTGGTGTGGTGGGGGAGAGGGTGAAGGGGTTCTCCATATTTCCACAGGAGACAGGAAACCTCCATTTTCTCCGTATTGTAATGCGAAGACCTCTATTGTCTTTACATTGTAGTAGGAGAACCTCTATTGTGTCCATATTTTAGTAGGAAAACCTCCATATGCTCGATACTGTACTGTATGTTTTAACAGGGAAATATCGATTTTCTATGTTTCTTCGAAAAACATGAACTGTCTTCATCTTTTTCTAGGAAAACCACCATATTCCCTATGGTTTCAGAAGCGGGGGCTTGGGGGGGGGGGGGGCAACCCCCTTTGCAACCGCAACGCTCGCATGATGGGCTTCTAAAGACTTAAACAAGCGGGGGGTTGGGCGGGGCGCAGGTCCTGCCCCATTTGCAAACACAATGCTCGCATGATGGGTATCACTCGAACTCGAACTCGATTCCGCAGCGGTCTGGTCTGACCTACTAGCTAGCTGTAGCTCATGACATATGTCACGGCCGCTCTGTGGCGGCGGTTAACAGCTTCGGGTATGGACATGCAAGGCAACTGCACAGGAACCGAAGTTCAACAAACTGTGCAGTACAGGGTCTCCAGCGCTCACAGTCGCTCAACCTAGCGTTCTCGCACTTACTAACTAGGGAGTAGACTGTGACAGCTCAGCTGAACAGTGAATGAATTGCCAAAACGAAGAAATGAAAAACACATCACGCCACTCTGCCTTGGGCAGGGGGCCGGAAACGGCAACCCCGAGACAAGTGCTGCGCAAGCCCTGTACACTGTACAACTTCAGGACTGAGCTACAAAATGGTCAGCTCAATGATGGATCTCACTCATGAAAAGCAGTCAGTTGAGGACCTCCATGGAGGGACGGACTCAGAGTCCACTAGAGCATCGAAATGCACTCCACAGGCCAATTTCAAGCGAAACGGAGTCCACAACAAGCCTCCATGCATACCGCCAACAATTCTGGAATCACTGCTTTTGGGCAGCGTAGCCACCGCTGACAGACACATTGGCACATCGTTCTGTCGTCCTGCCCAAAGGGCAAGCTTTGCCAAAGCGGCAGCCTCCATGAGAGAAAGCTGGCAGAAGCACCCCACGAGGAAAGAGAACCATCAGAGCAATCCCAAGAATACCTCAGCGGCAGGTACACAGCGTAGGGGACCATCACGTTGAGGAAGCCCAACGCACCCACCAGAAAAGAAAATAAAATAGCAGCAGCATATTGAATAGAAGGGCCGATAACACGGCGCCCCCGCCCACAGGCCAGGTTGCCGTGAAGCCTGGCAATCGCAAGTGGCCAAGAAAAACCAAGCAATTATGGGGTGAGTGTGTGGTACTGCTCCAGCACATGCATTGTACAAGCAAAGAACTGAGTCAAATATGGTCAGCTCAACGATGATCCAAACTCATAGGGCAGACAGTTGAGGACCTCCATGGAGAGTCTGGTACTACAGTGACTCGTCGCATCGCGCAAGTTGCCTCATTGCCCGAAAACTCGCCATGGGCCGACCCACGAAATCCCAGAAGGGCTAGGTGGGAAACAGGAACGAACTGTCCACAACGAATGTCGTCACATATCCTTCCAGCTGTTGCAACCGAAAGTGAAAGCACCATGAGGTGGGCCATCAGAGCAGTCCCAGACGTCGCCTCAGCAAAAACGAATTCATCTGCATAGAGACAAACTGTAGCAGCACAATGTAGGGGCCGAAGACGGCGCCCTGCCCATAGGCCTGGTTGCCGTAAAGCCTGACAACCGCAAGTGGCCATACATTCATCCCAAAATGCCTGATTGCCGCAAAGCCTGGCAACCGTAAGTGGCAATGAATAGTCATACAACATGAAGAACCAAAGCAAATACGAAATAAATAAACCAAGCACTGAGCATAGGCGCGAGCTCGCTGGCAGTGAAAACACTGTACCTTGCAGTCCGCCCCGAAGCGTAGGTGCGTACATAATGCCTGGCCAGTATCTTCGCCCACACATGAAGCCCAGGTGATCACGAACCTGATTGGCTCCCGCTGCAGCACTGGAATCTGCAGCAACCCTCACTTCTACCAGCAATACTTTTGGCCTGTCTTCAGTGGCCCATCCAATGCTGGTTGCCGGACTTGGGACCGGCACGGCTCGTAAAATAAAGAAGAGCGGACCTGCAGTGAAGATGCTTGAAGGTGTCACTCGTGTATCTCCCAACCGTGGGGCTAACTGCGTTTGCGCAACCAGCTCATCAAGTGGCAAAGGCGTCTCCAAAAACATCCAGTAGCAGAATGCCATGCAAATACCATACCAGATCCATGAAGGCCAGTGAGTGCACCGAGGACAACCTGAATGCACGGGTTTCTGACATATCGCCATCGTCATTGCATCTGTGAATGGGTGCCGAAGTGCGGCTTCCCCAGGCTCAGTATTGAGAAACCATGTGCAAAAGCAAGAACTACAGCGTCCGGAGGGGGTCCAGTTGAACAGAGAACCTGTTTGGCCTCGAACCCGGTTGACCCCCTACCAAAGAAACATGTGATCCGAGCCGAGAAGCTTGCATGATGGGCTCACTCGAACTCGATTCCGCAGCGGTCTGGTCTGACCTACTAGCTAGCTGTAGTTCATGACATATGTCACGGCCGCTCTGTGGCGGCGGTTAACAGCTTCGGGTATGGACAGCAAGAGACGTCCTGCAGGAACCGGAGTTCAACTAGACTGCAGGCAAAACGGTCTCAAGCGCAACAGAGCCTACCTGGACCTACCGTAAACGGGAAAGAAACGCGCACTCACAAGCTCAAAAATACAGTGTATGTACAAGAGATACTATACTACGGCCGGTCTCACAGTTCGCTCACTCACAGGGCTAAACAGTGTGGGCACGCATGCGCCGCAAATGTCCGGGGCCGATGAAAGAACGGCACCCCCGTGCTGATGGAACAACGCATGGCTGCATTTGGTGGCATGGTTGAATAAAGTGACTCGGTACACCAAAGAAGAAGAGCAAAAACACTCAGGGAGAGTATAGCCATCTCATTTTCTCATCGCTCAAACTCCGTAGTTGGGCGATCTGGGCATGAGTTGCTGGTATCATGGCGCTGTGGCCGAAAGGTCGGCTTCACATGTGCCTTCCCTGTACATAAGAACAGAGACAAAAGGCTCAGACAGGGTTGCCAGCCTGTCCCCCCGTGCACCCGAGAGGGGGTGCACCCCCGCTTCTGTGAGAAAAATAAGCTCTCATCGGCAGGCCGATCCGCCTTCCCCAGCAGGGGGCCTGCGGATACAGCCAAGCACATAACAGTTGGACTGGATTTCGGGACTTATGGTTTCAAGCCTTTCCGATGTGACACCATCGTCCATGTACCAGGCATCTGTCCTGCCCGGTATCAAGCCAACAGTTCTGTAGTGCCCCGTGAGAACTGTTTCTCCAAGATGCACGATGATGGAAATAAGGTCATAGGCAAGCCAATCACACGCTATGCTGCTTTCATTTCTGAAGATCGGTAGGTGGACGCAGCGATTGTTGGATGTGATGGGTACACGGGTCTTCCTTGTGACACCGTTGTTCGTGGTATATCTAGGCAGGACAAGGAAAATGTGAGTCGGGGCTGTGCACAGCGCATGCGGCTGGGCCTGCAGGTGCCAGTTGAGGATAAGGGCATCCAGCTCCCCGTCTTGGATACCTCCAGGTGCTGCCAGAAGCAGCAGTGGTGCAGCAGTCTCTCTGATTTCAGTAGTACACCCCTCCTCAACCGCCACCCTAGCCTCCCAGTGAACGAGACTATCAGTCCAAGCCAGCTTAGGGATGATGAACTGTATGAATTCGCTCACGTCATGCTGTCTGTTGGGCTGCGCCCATCCTAACATGTACATGCGGAGAAACATCGCTGCATCCCAGTGCGTTTTAGCAAGTGCCTTCTGCCAAGCATCAGGTATATGGCTCCCCGGCCTGAGTTGAGCTTGCCACAGGGTGGCAGTCATGACGGAGTTAATGTAGCATGTGTTGCCGCTATTTTTAAGCTTGAGGCGAGAGACACTCGGCACACCAGTAGGTGGCCGTGCACTTCCTGCAGCGCTCAGATGTTTTCCAGGGCCTTTTGCAGTGCCATTGCCAGGCCGTGGCGTTGCTGGTTTGGCGGCTGCAGTTGCGCCCCCACCACATTCCAAACCGCGCAGTTGGCCAACTGTCGCAGTTTCTGATGCAGGATGTCTGCTCTCGGGTCTCTCATGGCTACTTCGATGAGGAACACTGCTTTGTCGCCTTCCTGAGGCTCTTGCTTGGGACGCCTTTGGGCGCAGAACCTGGTGACCAGATCCGGCAGACATAGCTCGGCGACCTGGTTGATGAGCTCCGTCGCCTCTTCCACCTTCAGGCTCTTGGCTGTCGCCGACGGCTCCACCTTTTTGGTGGCCGAGTTCCACTCCTGATACACGAAGCGCTTCTGCTGGTCGAGCCACTGGTGCTTCATCGCATTCTCCACAGCCGTGGGATCGCCTACCATCAGTTGGACTCTTGCCACGACCTCTTTCAACAGGAGGCCCAGCGCGACGATTCTCATCGGGGGGACGTTCTCGCCTTTCTTCTGTTTTTGTTGCCATTCCTGCCCCGCCTTGAAAAGCGGCAGCAATATAGTTCCTGGGCCTTGTTGCTGGAGGTGAAAGGTGAAGGACGTGTCCAGGCGTAGACGGTTCAGGGCGTCCTCCTGCTGCAACGACAGATTTGCCAGGAGCGTCACCACCGAGTTCAGGTTCTCGTCTGCAATTTGCCGCCGGCCTCCCCGCTGTCCTCGCCGGGCCGCTTTGGGGCGCTTGTTCGGTGCGTTCTCTGTCTCCCGGTCCATGTCTCTCGGCTGTTTCGAGGTCTCTCTCATGCTCGTCGCTAGCCCCGGCATTAGGCCGCCGAAGACGCTCAC